GTGAGTAAGGATATGTGAGAGTATGTGTGAGTGTGTGTATGTGTGTGTGAATGTGTAAGTGTGAATGTGTGTGGGTGTCTGTATGTGTGAGTGTGAGTGCATGTGTGTGAATGTGGGTGTATATGTGAGTATATTGTATATTTGTCTGTACGTGTATATCAGTGTGAGTGTGTGTTGTGAGAGTGTCTGTGAGTATATGTATGAGTGTGAGTGTGTGTGTGTGTGTGTGAGTGCGCGTGTAGGACCCGCCGAGGCTGTGTTGATAAATCGGTGAGAGTCTGTCCCTTGCCAAAGCAGCATTGAGGGGGTGTGTGGTGGGGGCAGGCAGTGGTGGGGTTGGCCGTTCGGGGCTCAGGAGAAGACTCACACTCTGTCTTCAAAAGCCAATTTGAAGAAAATCCAGACCAGGATGAAAAACATGGGAAACCCTGGGGATGAGACGAGCTTTGTTTAGCCCCCCCACCCCCCCGGGCAGCCTTCTGACCCCGGCTGCCAGCAAATGCTGCCCCTTGTTTGAGGTGTGAGACCACGTAGGAAGCCGACGCACAGGCATGAGGGTGGCAGGGGCCTGGGCCCCAGGCTGGGCTAGCCTCACCCCCTCCTATCATTCTCCCCATCGTGGCCCCAGATTGACCCCTAATCCTGGGCGCAGATGAGCTCTGATCCTTCGCCACAGACTGACCTCTGACTCTGGCCATGGACTGACCCCCTAACCTTGGCCATGGACTGACCCCTAACTGTGGCCAGAGACTGACCCCTGACTCCAGATGCAGACTGTCCCCTCATGCCAGCCACAGACTACTGCTTTCCCCACAAGACTTACCCCAGCCACCAAGAACAAGCCACCAGAAGTATCTGGTTCCATTGGAGAAGGCCGTGGCCAGCAGACATGTCAGGTAGATGGCCTCGACCAGGAGCCAGGTGAAGTTGGTCATGGAGGCGTAGTAGGAGAAGGCCACAGAGAGCTTGCAGCCAGTCTAAGGGAAGGAAGGACAGACAGGAGGGAAGGTCATAGCTGGATGCGAGGACCCTGCTCTTCTCCTCGGCTCTCTCTTTGCCCTCCCCACTGGCCTTGTGCCTCTAAAAGGTCAGCTCCTGGAGAGAGGGCCTGGCTGCTGAGTGTCTTTGTGCCCACAGCCCCAGGAACACAATCTTGGCACAGAGAGAGTGGGCTGGAGGGCACTGAACTGTAGACGGCTCCCAGGCCAGGCAAGAAAGAGACTCAGAGGCCGTGGCCAGCTGCGTAGGCAGGGAGCTGTGGCCTCCAAGAAGACTAGAGGAAGCCAGGACTTGGTGAGGAGCTCAACAGAATCTGGCAGTACTGGCAGGGACCAGCATGGAAGAGTTCTCTGGAGGCAAAGGGACAGTGGCCAGCCCAGGGCAGAGGCCCAGCCAGATGAGAACAAGGCTCTGTAGTCCAGGCCCATGAGGCTCTCACGGCTCAGGCTGGGACTTGTCAGCACAGGACTGTTTGACTCCAGACTTTGGCGGGCAGGGCCTTGCCCTTGGCTCTATTTTTGACTGTTTGGTGAAAAGCCTCCCTGGCAAGGGCAGAGGGAGGAATGTCTGAGGAGCCCAAGGCCAGGCTGGGCTGAGAGGCAGTGGCAGAGGAGGGAGAGAGGGCTGTCATCCATCCTGCCACAGGGAGCTTGGCCTGCCAACCCCCTTCCTGGCAGCAGGCTCCCCTGAGCCTCCCTGGGTACTGCCAGGCCCTTCCTGCGTCTGTCTCCCTGCAGCCTGGGCCAAGCAATCCTGCTCAGCTCAACCTTGGATGTTGCCCAAAGCACAGTAACCTTCACTTCTCCTGCTGGTGCATCTGCTGTTCAAGGCTCCTCCATCAGAAGCCCGGCCCCTGGTTCGTCTGATTCCACTCTCCCTCACCCTCCTGCACTGAGGGCTGCTGCTGCTGCTTCCTGTCATTCCAAGGGCACGAATGTGCCCATGCACACCTAACACAGACTCCCTCCGCTACTTGGAGGCAGTCATAGTACTTCTTTAGACCTGTTTTACAATATGTGAAATGGGGGTAATCATAGCTGCCCTGTCTGCATCCCCAAACTGTACTAAGAATCCAAGGAGAACTGTGCAAAGTCTGTGTGCTGTTGGGATTGTTTCTCATCAGTACTGAGACGGGGAGCGCCTTTCCTCCCCTCCCCCCCCCTCGCCTTCCTCACCATGCTGCACCTGCCTGTCTGTCTGACTCCACTCCTTCCTCAGCCTGGACCACATTCATGAACAACCTTTGCTCCCTAGCATTTTTAGTCTTTCCCCATCTGGTCCCTCAAGGCACAAGGGCATGATTTTTCCTTCTCCTTCTCTTGTCTTTCTTGTGATTATGGGCATGGGCACCGGGGGGCTCCAAATTTGAAGCTCATCAAACCCTCTCTATTCAATACATCACTGGGGCCTTGTGAGGTGGGCATGAGAGGTTTGACTGGCCCCATTTCAAGGATGAAGAAACCTTGGCTCAGGAACCTGAGGGGACTGGCTCAGATTTGTTGCCCCTTCGGACTCCAGGCCACACTCCTTCTGTCATGGTGGCCTTCCTCCTCGACGTAACATGATGGATGGAGGATGGAGGCAGGGAGGCAGGGAGACTGCCCCCAGGGCCCAGGCACTCACCGTGGAGAAGGTGCAGTGGTCAACCTCGTCCTCCTCTTGCAGAACGATGGCATCTTTGAGGAAAACGGCCACAGCTTTGAGGATGAACGTGCAGAAGAGCTGGACGTGGATGTAATTTCTGGGGCAGCGAAGCCTCCTGGGTACCAGGGGTGCAGCGTCAGAATCCACCGTGGTGTGGAGGCAGGAATGAGGAGAACACGTCAGGACAATGGGGAGACTGGTCAAGGTTGAGTGGACAGTGGGCGTAAGGGGGGAGGGAGGGCAGATTGGAGACCACATTACAGCTAGAATGGAAACCCATGGAGGGCAGGCACTGCACCAAGCACCTTGTGAATAGAAGGCATTGAGTAAACAAATGTTTGCGGGATTGGATTGCATTGGCCCTGAAGATCCGTCTGTGGCCATTCCACTTGATCTTCAAGGTGATAGGGAGCCACTGAACATGGCTGACCAGTGGTGGGACGTGCTCATGCTTGTACTCTGGAAGTTGGGAGCTGGCTTGAAGGGGAAGAGGCTAGATTCCAGGGGACCAGTTGGGAGGCTATTGCAACACTCTTGAAGGGAGGGAGAGAGTGGAGGCCATAGGAATGGAGAGGAGAAGATGCGCCTGAAGACATGGGGCTGGGTTAAGGATGGGCTAGATGGGCCTACAGGCCCAGGTGAATTGGCTACTCAGAGATTCCCTCCAGCACAATGGCTTGGGAGTGGGAGGGATGCTGCATTCTATGCCCAGCTACATCCCCGTAAATGGCAGTTACTTATTTTCCTGAAACAAAACCCGAGGAAAGAAACAAAAAATAACCTTGCAGGAGGGAGGGGGGTCCTGAATGAGCTAAGACAAATGTCTACACTGACCAGAATCACTTGTTAATTTCTCATTTCTACCATTCCCAAGAAACCTGAAGAAACAGCATCAGATTGGGCCAAGGATGATGATGAGGATGATGGTGACACTGATGATGGTAATGTTCATTCTGATGGGGTTGCTGGTGATTGGTGATAATGGTGGTGATCACTGGAGATCACTGGTGACCATTGGAGATCACTGGCAACCATTGGTAACCACTGAGATGATCACTGATGACTATTGGGGATCACTGGTGACCATTGGTGACCACTGAGGATCACTGGTGACCACT